GATAATTCTTTTTTCTTTTTTTCGTTACACATTTAAATTTTCATTCATTTCTTTTATTCGCCTTTAATTCTTAGAAAGATGCCATTTCTCTTAGCTTGAAATTCTCTCGTAAATAATGTACATATTTCAATAGTCATAAACAGCAGCAGGAACTGATAACATTTAAAGTGATAATAATTAAGTATTTTAAGTAAAACGGTTGGCAAGCTTTAGTAAACGGCGAGTATATATAAAAAATTTAAAATGATTAACTTTGGCTGTCATTTTCAATTCCAGCTTACTAGAAAACTCTCATTTCTCATTTCTTGTTGACTAGCGTACATATGCTTTGTAATCGTCGGCATGCTTGCCTGATTGTAAGGCAGTATATGAATATCTAACCAATAAAAACCTTTAATTAACTTCAAAGAAGTTTGCCCTGCAGTGTTTGTGTTTAACTCTCTGTAACTCTCTTGAAAATTTATTTTTTGGAGCATTGGATCAATATGGCTAAGTAACTGCAGATCGAGTCAGGATCCTATTTCGTAATGACGTCACTCACTCAAGCAAAGCGCTATTTGGCACAAATGAAAGAAACAAAAACCAGCTCAAAATAAATAACACAACAGAATCTTACTCAAAATTTAATAATTTAAACACAAAAAAATGTTTATCAAGATTATTGAAATTTTCTTACAGGGTAATATCGAATTTACATTTGGTACAGTTTTTCCTTACGACTGTCGCGTGCATGCAGCCGGACGCCACGAATTGCTTCGTGAAAATCGACCATACAACTAAAAAAATAATGCATAAATGGGTTTTATCATTAGCATCTCCACGGTTTGGCTCTTCATTCATTGCATTCAATTTTAATACAACTTGCTTAACAGGTGTAAACGGCAGCTAGCTGAAAGAAGACTGGCGTCAGCATGTTGCGTGCGCGACAGATGAGAGAAAAAATCGTACTGTGTAAATTAATCTTAATCGGTTTAAGCATACGGGAGACATCTAGAAGCAAAATCCAAGCTAATCGCTATCCCTCTTGTAGCAAAGACATATATATATTTTTCTATAAATACGCGCGTATGTGTGTGTGATTTGTCTGGAGTGGGGTGGGGTAGGGGAGAGATATGGTTGGTTGGTTGAGATTTTTGAGATTATTAAGTAGTGAAATATGTATGAATCAAGGGCGTATCCAAGGGTGGTTCTCTGGGTGCCATGGAACCCCCTTTTGTGAGATGTTGTGAAGACAATCGTGTTCTTTACGTGCAAACGTCAATAGAAGCGTATCAAATAATGAGGGGAGTGTCAGGAGTTTTGGCGCGGATTGTAGGTACGAAAATCAGACATCAAAACATATACTTACTGGCTACTGAAATTTAATTTTTTTCGTCTAATAACGTCAATGCTTGTCGATTGTAAATGGGACCGCCTTTTCATTGACGCGCGCTTTAGCCGACAAACATACAGCTTTTTGGAGCCAGATAGGACATGTTTTGATTTATAGTTTTCGCTCCCCTAGAGATGCAAACGACGTGTAGCAATGTAAACTTCATACTTGGAGTATACATTCTTCTTCGAATACCCACCAGCTGTAAATGAAACTCTCCTCAGCAATCCGCAATACAAGGACGTTCAAAATTAATATTATTATTAATAATAATATTATCATTATGTTTTGTTTGTTTTTGTTTTTTTTTTTTGTTTTTTTTTTTTTTTAACAAATTGTTTTTAATAGTTTGCTTATTTTGAATAACAATTTCTTGCAATTAGACGATTAATTACTGTTTTTACTTCCCACAAACGGCAAGCATGGCCACGTTTTTACCGTTTTCCTTTTTAGTTTTTACCCCAAATCAGTGACCCATATTAGCTTTGTCAACAACAACTTCTTTGCTGATTTATGAGAGAAATTTATAAGAGTACAACTAGTGCAATATAAAATGCTGAAACAATATATTATTATTGAACAAAATAACTTCTTTTGAAAAGAACTAAAATGTGATAAATTGAAAAACAAGACTGATATTTGGCGCGTTGTTGATGGAAGTTATTATTGATGGGTTGCAAGCATTCCCAAGAGAGTCAAAAGACAAAAACGTGGCACGGCCATTGTGGTACCGTTAACAATGGATGCTAATGAGAATTCTTTTGTTAAATGGCACCAACATGGCCGCGATGATGTAACGTGCAATCGAAGAATACTGAAAAAGTTAACTTGAATTTATTATCGCGCATTCACGCTTGTCAAGGTTATCCATTGCTACAATTTTCCTAAACATGCGAACTCTGTGTCTGCGAGCTGCACGCTGATCAGTCGGTAATCATTCGGTACCTTTCATATTTTTGACTGGCAGCAGCGTAAAACCAAATTTCAGCGTACAATTCGCAAGCTTATGAAAACTGCAGTATTGTGAAATTATAACAAAGGCGTCTAGAGGTTTCTTTTCAAAGTTATGCCCCGTCCAAACTATGCCGGATGAATTTGAATCCGAATTTTCAAACCGAAAAAAAAGTTTTCCGTCCACACTAATACGGCTAGCCGGCGTTTTCAAATTGTTCCACTCTGGAGACCGTATTCGAAAAAATTCGTTTTCGGTGAATCGCCCGGACTAGTGTGGACGGTAGGCCTAACCGAATAAATAAAATTCGGATTCAAATTTATCCGGCATAGTGTGGATGGGGCCTTAGAACAATATATATTGAAACTATTTGAATATTTACTTCACGTTCCTCAAGAAAAGGAACACTTAAGCACAGAACAAAAAAAGAGTGCTAGCTATATAGATCTTATAGAGATTAGCTTCTTAAAAACAATTTCCTGACGAAGGTAAGATTCTGCAAAGCGGATCGAGAACGACGTTTTGTTTTCCATTTAGAAGTCAAGACCAGGCTAATAGTTTTCGAGAAGTATTGCTAAATTTAGCTGATTTTATTAATCTTTTTATTTTTTATTTTTTTAAATTGTAAGTTAAAACTAGTTAAGTTTTATCAGCACTTGTAGCAATTCCTTTCCATAAAGGCACTTGTGGCAAAACCAGTGAACGAATCAGAAGTTTAATTCAATATTTTTATCCGGCATTCACTAGGCTGACAACACCCTTTTGTTGTAGCAATATCAGTTTAAGAAGCTTATGTCAAGTTTTATATCTGGTATTGAAATAGGCTTGTAGTTATAGCTGCAATATATAGCTTTGGCATGCCATTTTACGGAATTAGTCTTTCCAGCACTCGTAGCAATAGTTTATTTTTCAATATATAAATAGGCTTTACAGTTTTATTTAAATGGCTAAGTGCCTGTAGGCCCCGCCGGTCAGTTTCGACATCAATCCAATTGCTTACTGTTTCCGTAAGAATTATCAATATTCCTGTGGAGAGTTTTCCGAATTTTGACAAATTAGATTAAGTATGACGTGAAAATGCTATACAAATTGTTAATCACAGCCAATATTGTGGATTGTTTTTATGAAACACTTTTAGTATGATTGATATAGT